AGATCTTTGTAGTGATGCAGATCTTTATAGAGAAGAAAGATTAGAAGAATGAGAAGTATTTATATTTTCTAGTAAAATAAATATTAAAATTTAGGTTAAAATAAGTTTAAAATATTTGAAACTTAAATAACAAATCTTACAGTATGCCAATTTTTTTCTTTTACTCGAGAAGCTAAAAAAATAAAAAGTTTAAATTTAACTAAATTATAAAACAAATATTAAACAGAATACATTTTTTAATTACTTATCAAGTTTATTCCAAAATGAAATTTTAAATTATTCTTCATATTTTTCACTAACTTTTCTTCACCTTTCTTTTGAATTTCCTTTTACATAAAGTTCAAATAACTAAAAATATTGATTGTTTATAATTTTTATTTTATACAATTAGATCATTTGCTTTCTTAATCAGGATTTTATTTATTTTATAATCCTTAATCATTCCTTTAAACTTTACTTAACATTACACTAGCGTAACATCTATATTAAATTTTTCTTTGATTTTCTTTACAACATCTTTCTAAAAAGGTAACTTTGATCTTTCAAGATTGAACTAATATTTTTTATTTTTGTTTATCCTTTCATTAATCAATAATTTAACTTTATTATCATCCTAATCGATTGTGTTTGGCATTTTTGATAAATTGAAAATTTAAAAATTGTTAAATTTAATTTTTTAAAAATTAAAGAAAAAAAAAAAAATACTTATAAATTTATATAAAATTATATCGACATATGTTAGAGATTTGAAACATTTTGCATATAATGAATAATTTTATTTAATCAAAATTATCTAATAATTTCAAATTGCAATCATAATTTTAATTTACATATTATGTATAATTCAATTTACAAAATTATCTAAAAATTACAATTTTGATAAAATTACTAAATTTACATGATTTCAATTTTTTTATTTTCAAAGAAAATACAATTTTCAATGATAATATTTAGATAATCACTTTTAATTCATCTTTGATTTATCCTTAATTTTATCACCAGTTATTCTATATAGAAATTTTCTGGATAATTAACAATTTTTTTTAAATTTACACAATTTTTAACTAAAATTTTACAAAAATTATCTAAATTTTATTATTCTAATTTAACATTAGAAATAATATTATTATTAAAATATCATTTAAGATAAGTAACACTAAATTATTATATGATCAAAAAAATTGTTAATAATCTAGAAAATCTAGATTATAGATTAGAAACAATATTAAATTTATTTAATCAATAAACTTTATATTGTAATCAAGATTTTTAGATTTTTGATAAAATTTAAATAACATGACTTAATTTTTTAATAAAAAGTCAATATTTACTTTAAAATAAAATCATATTATTACTTTAAAAGTATGTCACTTTTAAAATTCACAAAAAGAACACATATTTCTTTAACTAAATTACAATGTAAAGAAATTTATAATTATGCTAATAATAATCTTAATAAAACTCAAAATGATATAACTTTTTTTTAATATGCAATGAACTTTAAATATAGATTGAATAATAGTATCTAAAATATTAAAAAAGAAAGATATCTTTTTAGTAATTAAAGATAATATTATTTATGCTATTTTAAACGTTTACATCAAGTTAAAGTTCTTCTAGTTAATAAGCTATTAAAATTTAGGTTGGTCAGGCTTTTAGTAGTTATATATTTATTTTAAATGTAATTTTAAAAAAAAAAGCTATTTTTTTTGCAAATAATTTGGATGTGCCTGAAAATACTTTAACTTTTTTAAATGGTTAGATTACATGATTTAAGAAAAAAAATGGCTTTTGATATCATAAATTACATGAAGAATCAGAAAGTATTCTATTGAAAATATTACTTTAAGAACAAGAAAAATTTTAGCAAATTTTACAACAATATAGCTTAGATGATATCTATAATACTAATGAAATTGGTTTATCTTTTCATATGACTCCTAATGAAACTCTTACATATAGATCTGTTAATGGAACTAAAAAAGTAAGATTTCTTATATTCTTGTTTTATTTTTATTTGTATATATCATTAATATTGATTAACTAAATATTATTATTTATTATTCTTGTATTAATAGTAGTATATTACTAAAAAATTTTTTTATTTTTTACTAATAGGATAAAATTAGAATAACCATAATACTAGCATCAAATGCATCTGAAAATTATAAGTTGAAATCATTAGTAATTAGTAGATCTTTAAAGCTATGAGTTTTTCATAGTATTCAAACTTCCTGATTTCCAATTATATATAAAGTAAATAAAAAGTCATAGATAAAATATTATATTTTTAATAGATGGATTAGTGAATTAGATCATAAATTTCATCTTTAAGGCTGACATATTATTTTAATTATTGATAATATTTTATCGCATAAATTCGTTACTTCTCTGATAAAAATGAAAGTGATAATGATTATGATGATAATAATGATGATGACGATGAAGATGATTTAATAATGATTTTACTAATAATGAATCTAGAGAATCTTCAGAAGATGATGAAACAAATAATTGTAAATAAAAAAGTCATGTTTCATCAAACAGAAAAGGTAGTAAAGCAAAAAAAGATAGCATTGAACTTATTAATATCCAAATTGTATTTATTCCATTAAATATGACATCAAAACTTCAACTGATAGATGCCAGAATTATTCAAAATTTTAAGATTTAGTATATTTGTTTACTGAAAATGAAAATGGAAATTGTTATAGATCTGGATAATAATTAAAGTTTTATTAAATGAATTTATTTATAATTATTAAATATAGGTCAAATATAAGTAATTATATATTTGACATTTAATTGAAGAATTTGATTAAGATACTAATATACGCAAGTAAGTATTTTTTATTTTTTTTTTGTGTTTGTTATTTTTGTATAAATCACTAATATTTATTTAATATAGAAATAAATTGGACATTAAATAAGCAATTGATTATATTGTGAAAGCTTAAAAAAGTGTAAAACAGCAAACCATATACAATTACTAGAATAAAACTGAAATTGTATCTAATTCTAATTCTAAATCAACATAACAAATATTAGGTGTACTTGTTAATGAAATTTCAGAAATAATTTCAACAATTTTCATTGACAAAATCTGAAATAGTTTAGAATTATATTCATGATCAAACATCTCTACCTATTGAAGAAACTTTGACTAATGAACAAATCATAAACATAATATAAGATCATGATAAAGAAGTGTCTGATACTAATAATGAAAAGGAACCAATTCTAAAAGTTTTACCAAAAAAGTAATTCTCTTTTATGAATATTTACCTATTGATAATGGGTTTAAAATAGATGATTTTAAAGTTTTTAAACGTTATATTCTAGATTTGAAAATGCATTATATTACATCTTTATAACAAAAGTCAATTGAAGATTATTTTCCTTCTAATTAAAACTTTTAATATTGTATATATAATTTTGATTTTAGTAATATACTTAATATAATTATATAATAAATAACATATCTATTAATTAATAAAATTGATATATTATATATTCTTATAGTTTTTTTATTTATATTTTACTATTAAAAAATTTTTTTTTGTTTATAATCACATCTCGTCATAGTCACAGAATATAAAATATTTCAAATGTGTGACTATAATGAGAGTTGACTGTATTTCTAAAATTTATTTTAGATTTTCTAATATTATACAAAAAATAGAAATTTTATTAGCTATTTTATTAATAAGATAATTAACTATAAAAATTTAATCAAATATTTTATATTAATATAAATCAAAATTTCAATTTTGATTAGACATATGAAAAATAATAATTCAAAATATAATAAAATATAAGAATTTACTATTTATTACCGATAGTGATAATCATCAATATTTATTACATAAGTTGAATTTATAATTCTGATCTAAATTATAGATAGTATGAAAATTACATATATAATAAATAACTTATGATAAATAAAATTTTTTTATAGAGAAAAAATTCTAAATTCTTAAAATAAATAATAAATTAAAAAACAGAAAAGCATAATGCAGATAATAAATATAAGTTATATGATATTAATAATAATCACCTTCAATAATATGTAATAATTTTTTAAAATATATTTAAATATTAATTAGTAAAAAAGTTAATAAAGTTTTATTAATAGTATTATCTCTGATAAAATCACATTATAACATATTTAATATATATTTTTATTTATATTGAAATTATTTAAAAATACATATAACACTAAAGTTTTACTAGAATTCTTATTAAAATCAAACTATATTACTAATTATAGGATAATAAAACTTTTATATTTGTTAAAAGAATATTATTAAATTTTTTTAATATTATGATACAATTAATATATAAAAGTTTAAAAAGTAATAAACTGAGGATTGAAAACAAATATCTGAAAAATTTGATTCATTTCTTTTTTTTTATAATCATTCTGAAAATATAATATTAATATATATCATATTAGTTTCTTATTATATTTGTACTATAATAATTAACAAATAAAATAAGCCTAATTTATCATAATCTTAAATAAAATTATAAATATCAAAATATATACAATATATACAGAATAATTTTAAAACCATATGAAGATTTTGCTAAATGAATGCTTCAGATTTTTATTATACGTAACATGGTAAAGGTTATTTTTTTTTTATTCACGTTATTTTAAAGATGATTTATTTTAAATCAAATTTTTTATTCCATTGGAAGCATTTGCGATGAGCTTGATGAGTTACGAGTAATATAAAAATTTGCCAATAAAGCTCTCGAAAACTTTAAGCAAAATATTTTAATCGCATGCTTCTTCTATATATAATAATATACATGTGCACAATTAATTAATCATCCAATTAAACTTATTTAATGTTCAAATATCAATGAAAGTATTATTCGGATTAGTATATGATGGTACCTACATCCTCAATGTTTATGTTTTAATCATTTCATTTGAAGCATTTAACGTTAAAATTTGTAGACCAATGGTCATTATTACTAATATATGTTAATTATGAAGGGTTTGTATCTTCTATCTCCAAGTTTACTTCATCAGCTATTATAAATAAGGAAATTTATATTAATGATTAATATAAACATTTTTAAATCTCTGATTTTATACATACTTATCGGAAGGATAGGCAATTGTCCTATTAAATTCTCATCATTTTTCTTTGATGCATGGAGAATAGATAATAAAATAAATAAATAAACACATCTTCGATTGAACGTATTTTAAAATAACTTACATCATCAACTTTATTTTCTTGTGATGAACCTTCGGTGATTTCCTTTAATAAATCTGTTTTGACCCCGTCTTCTACATTTCTTATCATGCTCACTTCCCAATCTTCCTCGAATCGCTTATCAATGGCTGAAAATGAAGTATCGGCACCAATCAAAGGTTTCTCATGTACAGGCATATCTTGACCGATGTGAATTAAATCATCATCATGACTTAAATTTACATCATCATCATCATCATCATCAAAATCATCATCTTGAACATAACTTCCTTGGGATGTGACATTCATGGAATGAAATTGTTCTTCTAAAACTTCTTCATCATCTAAATTTTCATCATCATTTAAGTTTAAATCATCATTTAAATTTTCATTATCATTTAAGTTTAAATCATCATTTAAATTTTCATTATCATTTAAGTTTAAATCATCATTTAAATTTTCATCATTAATTAAATTTAAATCATCATCTAAACTTTCATCATCTTCTAAATTCTCCTCTTCATATAAATTTTCATTTTCATCTTCATCACTTTCTTCATTTTCATCTTCATTCTCTTCATCCTCTTCATCACTTTCTTCATTTTCACCTTCACTTATATCAACAAAAAAATCTGATAAAACCGATTTTTCTTCATTAATCGATTCATCAGAAATAAGATTCGCTTCTTGATTCAGTGGTTCAGCAAAAATATCAAGATTATTTTCCATTGAAGTTTGGACGTATTCACCATCACTATCACAATCATCAACCTTACTTTCGTTTTCGAATGAAATATCTATCTGATCCGTTGAGGAGTTCTCCTCTAAAAAGGTATCAATATCATCAATCGATGCATCAAATTGACAATTTACTGAATCATTTTGTTGTATTGTAGATTCATCATGGAGATTGAATATTGTTGATAAATGTTCAGTCAAATCATTCGGTCCCAAATCATTATTATCAGGAATAAATCTAAAATATACAAATATACGCTCGGTTAAAAAAATTTAGAAAACACCTATATATAGTAAACTTAAGGAATTATAATTGATTCAAAGGGATTACACTCGATATCCTGGTTCTTTGATTTCCGTATCAAGAATAAAAAATCTTTCATGTTTTTCATACAATGAAAAACTCGTGGGTTCTTTTTTTGAAATATTTTGATCCCAGTTTTGATAGGTTTCCACACAAAGTAAACCTTCAACGAAACGCGATCTATGATGATGATGAATCATCGACTAACATTTCAGTTTCATTATATGGAAATTTTTTAAATTAGTTTTTTAAATTGATGACTTTTTTTTTTTTTTTTTTAAAAAAAAAAAGAAATTTATGTATATACCTCATATAAAACAGCCATAATCAAAAACAAGTCTTTTTGCAAATTCACAATCAATTTACCTTGATCATCATAAAAATCATAATCTCGAATATTAATGTCACCACGAATTTCTCGAAGGCATTGTGTAAATTCTTCATTAGGCATTAGATTACTCGCGTAAATACGTTTATCTGGATCATTCTATATAAATATAAAATAAAAATAAAATAAAATAAAATAAAAAAGGGTTACTTTAGCCTTTCTTTATATTATAATATGCTTTAATGTAATTTACCTTTCCATAAAATGATAATAATGTTTGCCAAAACCTTTTCTGATTTACGCTAGTTTTCCAACAACCTCTTGACGTTAAATACAATATTTGACCTAAAGTTTTGGCTCCTAGCCTGTTAATGCAATGATATTGTCTTTGTATCAATAAAATTAAAAGGAAGAATTCAATATCGACCAATGTTGGAATTTCAACTATAGAACTCTTTCTTGTAGTAACGACTCTCTTTGATAAAAACTCTTCCCAATTAGTCCCAAGTTGATCAAGTGATGATACATTTTCAAACAACGTGGTTATAGCCTTTATAGGTGATTCTTGTACATTAGCAGCCTTTCTCGGTTCCTTCATCTATTTAAAGGTTTAGGGAAATAAATTAAACAAGTAGAAATTTTGTATAATGTCAACGTACATTAAACCGAAAAAAAACCTTTAGGCAATCTTGTAAATTAGGAAAAATAAGTCTTAAAAAGTCTCTTATCTCCCCATTTTCTATGTACCAAGCTGAGATCATCAAAAATCTGTATGAATTAAATTAACATTAGCGACAAACAATTATATTGAAAAATAACAATAAATATATTCAAAATGCACCGATCCAAATCATATGGAGCACAAAAGGCTATTTTGTCTATCTGAAGAGCCGTTTTAGATAACCATTTCAACATATTCAATTCTGTTAATGATTTCTTGCCAACCTCTCTGTGCAAATTTTTAAGAAATTTTTTATGTCCAGGCAAAACAAAATTCTGTGTGGCATCATCATTTTTAGAATGTGACCTGAAAATGACATTTGCTTCATCGTTTTTGTTTAACCACAGATAATCAAAACACTGCAATAAAACAAGAAGTTGGTGAGAAACGTCACTAATACGTTGGCACATTAGATAGATAAAATGGCTGATCGGACGAGTAGGATCACGGAAAGTTTCACGTCGAAAATATAAACATGATTTGAACTTTAAGTAAGCAGCATTTAGGTGGTATTGATTTTTTTGTATTATAGAAGCATTTTGGAATTGAACCAGATCAGAAGAGACAAGATATAATTGGAAATAACCATCGTGTCGTAAACTTCTCGATTGATATTCCTTTATTAAATAAGTTATAGCTCATTATCTCACATTTAATAATATTCAAACAATATAAATAATATAGTATGAAAACCTGTTGAAATCGTGTCCATTTTTCGACTAACTGAAGATTTTGTGACTCAGGAATTCCCCAAGTTTTAACTGAATCCGAAAATTCTTTTACAAGTCTAACGGATTCTTCACGAAACCTATGAACGAACGAATAAAGAAAACAAAGTAAATAATAGCATGGCAAAACTAACAATAAAAGTTACACTCACAAACTCAGTGATAATCTCACAACGTTATCATGTGCAAAAAATATCAATTCGGTAGGTTCATGTAAAGGGTCCTTTTGGTTATCGATTGTGGCCTCCAATTTTAATTTTGAAAACGTTGATTTAATAAAATTGTTCCATTCTAAACTATCAACAAAGTTATAGCGACGTTGAGTTATATGTTTCCATGCTCTAATAAGGTAATTAAGCATGAATTTATTTTCGAGAGAGAGATGGTAATAAAATTTGAGCAATTTTACCGTTGATAATCTTGAATTTTTAACAGACTCTTTGTTAACAATATTTGTAATGAGGGGTCAATAAATGTTTCCTCTAATGAGATTAGATCTTTTACGGAGTCATCGATCCATTTGATGGTTACCACTGAATAATTTTTAAAAAAAAATTAAATAATTGCAAATTTTCTTTTTAAATTGCCAAATAAAAGATAATCAACCTGGGGGCATTCCTTCTCGGCGTTTCAGACATGAGCGTTTATCTAATTGTTTTTCAGCATAGCGTACCAGAATAGCATATGTTTTTTGTAATAATTGAATTGCTAGAATGTCGTACTTATTATTATTCAATGAACGTGATCTATAAATTCGTCAGATATGTAAATTATTTGATTTCATAAATTTATTAATAAATTTGATATTTTAAGAAATAAACCTTTCTATCCAATGTAAGGCTTTGGTCGTCAACCTTTTAATTTCTGATTCTTCCTTTTGCATTTTCGCTAACTGTATACATAGCTCAGCAGCTTATGGATATAAAAGATTCGAGAATTGTAGTTTAAGTATAAATAAGGATGAATCATTATAATAATAAAATTACCATCATATGCAAGAGTTTGTGGTGCATTTGGAGTTAAAAGAGCTCTATTTAAATCGATGACAATGAGATTTAATGCATATGAATTCAAAATCAAGATTGACAATTTTTGATCTACCTTTCGTAATATTCTAATGCGCTTGACAACTTTTCTTGTTTTTTATATGTGGTACCTAGTAATTCTAATGCCTATTCAGCTATACTTGTTAGTAAATATGTAATAATGTTATACGTTAAAAATGAAAAAGACACTGTTACCTCGTAATTTTGAGGGCTAATTAATAATAATCTAAAAAGAAATTCTGCAGTCATACTGTAGTTCCCAAGATTGAAATACAATTTTGCGATAGAGTTCCAGTAATGTTTAATTTGGATCGAAGTCGGTTTCTTGCCAAAGTTGTGTAAAACATAATTATCGATTTCTTTACTGTCTTTAAAAAGTGTTTTAGAAGGTGTAAAACGACTCATTTGAATTATGTGAAGAAATCGTAAAGTCACGATTTTAAATTGATCGACAGAAAGTAAAAAAAGAGCCCAGAGTCGCGTTCGAATGTCGGAAACTTGATTTATATGAAACTTTCGTGATTGGCTGATTAGGTTACTCAAATTTTGTAATTGTAAATTCTAATCCACCAATAGATTCTGTTAATTGGTATTACCAGATAAAAAAAATTCACGTGGAAGATTATATTAAAGTAATGTAAGTGCGATACGTCGAATTCTTAACATGACTTTACCAAGTGAATTACCGTAAGTTTATTAAGAAATTTTATTTGCGTATATTAAATTTATTAATAAATATTTTTACATAGTAATAAAGACGAGCTTGTGGAGAAAGCACAAGGTATTTGTTTGTTTTAAGTTGATCTTAATATATTCAATTACAACTACAAAAAAAAAAAAAAAAAAAAAAAAAAATTATTTCTAGTTGATTTGTCAAATTTGAATTTAACCACCAATCAAATGGAAAAACATATAGAACGTTCTAAAGGCTTTTTATTATCACAGTACAAAGATATTACTACATTTTTAGATGAAGCTACAGATGGTACTGTTAATTCCCTTAATTCATCAAAAAAATATCTTTCTTTAAATTGAATATTATTACAATTCATCAATTCATTTTTTTGTTTAAATATATTTTTTGCTTGATCTATTTGTAAAGAATAGAATTCGAAATTGGTCAACTTGTACATCTTGAATCATTTGGCCTATATGATGCGATGAGTTCAATTGAGGTTATTTGATAATCTTTGTTTATAATGGCCGATCAATTTTTCGACCTTTACAAATTTTACGATTTTATAGATAATGGATCCAAAAATGGATAGCGGGATGATATTAGAAAGTGATTTAAATAAACCGCAATTTAAATTACATGCCCGTTTAAGGCCTGAAGAAGTTCTTGGAATTATAGATCGTTTGTTTAATTGCGAAGTAATTTATTTATTGTATTATAAAATATAATCTTTAAACTTTTATTTATTTCTTTTTCCTTTTTTTATTTTTTGAGAGTTTAGATGACATGGCATTCCGGACATTCCCTTTCTCAAACAATTTTTACTTGCATGTATTTTCATCACGTTTTTGACCTTGGCCCTGAATTATTTATCCATAATTCAAATGATGAAAACTTGCCTATCGAGTTCGTAATATTAGTTTTAAAGGCGTATATTTTGGGAACTGTAAAATGTTGTCATTTGGTATTGGATGAGATGACAAAGGGAAATGTTTATGAAGTAAGATATAATTATTTAAGAGTAACAAATCTGGTACATAAATCCTTTCTTTTTATAACGCGTAATTTCTTCCCTTAGGAAGAAGATTTTTCTGCAAATAAATATGGTGTCTCAATGTATGAAGATTTTCCATACTCACAAAGTATAAAATTAATAGAAGATGCTGAAGCCTGGATGGAACAATGTGGTTGTAAATGGATCCGCCAGAAAGGTATTTATAAAAAAAAATTTTGTTTATTTTTTTTTTATCATGGCAATTTAAATAATTTTTTTTTTTTAAAAAAAAAAAAATATATACATTAGGAAACCAAAATTGTGAAAATATTATTCGAGCAATACTTTCACGCCTTCGCTTACGAAAAGTATTCATTATTCTTATTTATATATTACTAGAATACGCTTGTTCAAATTTATTCGTCCGGTTTTTTATGTTTATTCTCGTTGTTAGAAATCAAGAATCAAGGATCTTTGTAAAACAGTCGGAATTACGAATGACCTTAATTTAGGATTTCATTTGAGAAATTTCTTGATTGCTTGATTTTGTAAGATTTCGGAATTCATAAGGACTGCAAGTAATCGGACAAAAACCGAACGAACGAATTTGAACATGGCTAAGACATTATTATGATAGATATCAAATAACTTTTATGTAAATAATTTTTTCTTTTTTAAAAAAAAAATTTTTTTTAGTCCCTCCTTTTACTTTTAATTTGTATGTCACAGCCACGTTGTCAGCAATATCCTCAAGCGCAGCGACATCTTAATATGTCAATACAATTCCTAAATGAAATTAAGGATGAATTTAGTAATGATTGTTTTGGTTTAGGAGTTGATGTTACTGGCGGTATGTGTGTATTTTTTTATCGTAACGAATGGATTGAGGCGTCTTAAATTAACTTACGACAAAATTCGAATTATTAGCTTTTGATCCGCTAATTAATCGAAAGCTCGTATCTCAAACACCACCACGACCAACCCAACTTTTAACAATGCAAGAGGTAAAAAATTTTTTTTTTTTTTTTGTTATCTACATTTTTTATTCGTTATATGTATTAATTATATTAGTAACTGTTTTTACAGTCAGTTGATGAAATGATGAATATGTTTAAAAGTCTAAATTCAACTTGCGAGATTATCGATTATAAATCAGCAACTAGCTTAATGGTAAGAATTTTGATGAAATATTTTTTAAAGATTTTTTTAGTAAATTTAACATTGGTTAACTTTGTTTGCTAGAATTTCTTGGTTTATCATGCTAGCCAGCAACCACCACCTTGTGCTTTCTCGAGGTCAATTTTACAAGTATGTACAATGTAAAAAGAAATAATAATAATAATAATAATAATAATTAATTCAAATCTAATATTATTATAGTTTTGTATTATTGATATATTACAAATTCTTTTAGTCGACTTTATGCACCGAGAATCGTGTTTTTGGTAAAATGTCGATGTCTCAATTGATATTCGATTCTGTTATAGAATTGACGAATCCGCCAAATATAATTTTTTCATTTAACAAAGATGTGGTGACTGCATTACCTAACAGAGCTCATATTTATGCAACCAGAATCAAAGTATCAAAACTGGTTCATAATTTTGTTGATAGCACAGTTAAGGTATTAATTATATATCGATGTTGTTATAAAGTTTATAGTATTGAATCAACTTCATCACAATATTAATCGTCAACTCAAGCCGTTGACAGACCTTTATCGTATTTTGTGTCATAACCGTTCAAGGCAGCGTCGCAATTTGTGTAAAGTTTTGAATGATTGGGATTTGTTACAAGAAGAAGTAAGTACGTTGTTATACATTATCATTTGTTTATATAAAATATATATTTTATTTATTTATATTTAAAAATCATTAGGCAGAACATATTGACAAGGAATTACAGAAATTAACCCATGAGGAACCTATTATGACAGATGTATTTATAAATTTAAATTTCATTTCATTTAGGAGTCAGTCACAGATTTTTTGTAGTCGTCGACTGATTATAATCGATTCTAAAATAATAATTAACTTTATTAAACATATAGGAAGGTGATTCTTACTCCTTTCATTTGTCATCCTGGGTTTATCATACTAAATTGGAGTTACTAGAAGACATATTCTTTCTTGGATTTGAACTGGAATTGTATGGAACTCATGAATTTGTGATGATATATTGGTTAGTAAATCATATACCTGTAATCATATTTTATATTAATTATTAAGCTCATATAACCAATTTTTGTAGGTATATTGATTACTTATTGGGTGTTCATTATCAGCATTTAGAGAGAACTCACATGCACATTACTGGTACCTTATTTAATGTGAAATTTCGGAGTTAACTAAAGTTCGTTATTAAAAAATCTTTTTTTTTTTTTTTTTTTTTTTTTTTTTTTAATATTTTAGATATAAAATATAAGGATCAACATGGAAGTTATCGATCAACATCATCACCAGCATCTTCTGTATCCCTACTGGTTAGCCAACAAATGATGATGATGGCAAAACAAGATATATGTCGAGGGATCCATAGGGTAATTTATTATAATAATTTGGATATATTATATATTTTTTAAAACGTAAACTAATGTTTATTATTTATTCCTTTAAAAAAAAGACCATATCAGCACTTCGGAAAACTGGACACGTAATATCTCCACAGCTTGAGTTTGATGATGAAAGTACTAGATTTTTGCATAGATTCAGAATTTGCAGAACGTTGGGTAGTCCAACAATACTGTCATACAAGGATTTCAAGGAGATGACACAATTTGATAACGTTACGGTATGAATAGATTTTGAAAATTAAATTTTTTATCACAATAGAAATAAATTAAATTTAGATTGTAAATTCCGTTTTTTAGGCATTAGAGCTTATCAATGCATCTTTGCAAAACTTTCAGGCAGCTAGATCTTCGATAGAGAGTTTGTTAGCAATGGAACCTTTGGAATTAAAGATGGATTTTTGTCATGTTAATTTTACAAAGGTAAAAATAATTATTTATATTATATTTATATTTATCATGTATTTAATGCTTTGTTTTCTGATCTTAGGAATTACGAGATATGCTACGTGTATGTATTGCAAATATTGTAAATTTGCATAAAATTATTGAAGAATATAAACCAATGCTTGATCCAAGTAATGCTAAAGAAAGTGATATCATTACGACTAGTAAACCCATACTTGATCCGAATAACGATCAAGAAAGTGTTGATACCACGACTAGTCGTAAACAGCAAAAGAAGAAACAACAAAAAAGTAAGAAACCATTGCGAAAGGATAATAAAATAGTAAATTTTGAATTTAAGTATCATCCTTGGTACACAGTAATTACATTAAAATAATTTAAATAAAGATGTTAAGATTATTTATGCAAGGAAAAAAAAATACACAATGAAATAAATATTTATATAGAAAATATGTTGAAATCTATAAAATCTATATTCAAGATAGTTCCTTTTTTGCCAAAAAAAAAGATAAATGGTTTACTTAATTTCCTCCTGAGTTGTAAAATAATAAGAAATTAAGAAAAATATGGCTATAATAATCAATTGACCATGTTTCTTGATGGAAAAAACGCGACGTGACCTGTTACGTATTTGACTATCAACACTAGCACGTCTTAAATATGAAATAACTTCTTGATCGTCATCAAATCCATCAAGATCATCATCATCATCATCATCATCGTCATCCAAACGATTATATTCATTTCTTAATTTTCCAAATCTTTCATATAAACCATTAGGCCATTTCTCTGGTATTAAATTCCAAGTATAAAAAGTTTCCAAATTTACAAGACGTTTTTCAATAAGATCTAAAGATAATTTTCTATTATTAAGTAAATCACCATTTAAACATAATCTAATTAATCCTGGAGAATACATAGCTAAACATCTAATAACGTCATCTGTAATATAACTTGATTCAAGGGATAATAAATTGTTTTTACAGAGAACAATCAAATTCATGAGTTCTCGTTCATGTTTATATCGAGAAGGTAAATGATTTAACAAGTTTGTTAATTTTAACCTTATTAAAAATATTAATAACAATAATAATGGAAAATTTAAAATTTAATAAGCTTTAAAAAAAATGAACAAAATAAAACCAACTTACCATAAAGGTCGAGATCTATAATGAACAGCAATTAAAGGTAATAGATTAGCAGTAAAGTACAAATCAAGCCCTGAAATATCCAACTTTTCTAAATTAGGGGTGCCGATTAACATTCGTTTCCAACCAGCAGGAGTAAAATATTCTGTAACTGGAGAGTTACATTCCGAAATGAAAGAGAGTGATTTTAAGGTATTTGAAAGATCACATAAACCTTTCAAAGTAGCATCAGTTATTTCAATATTATCATCTAAATATTTTCTTTCTAAAACCAATTCTTGTAAATTAGGACAATTATTAAATAATTCTAATACCCAAACATCAGATAAACCTTCAAAAGATAAACGAGCCCTTGTAATTTGGGAACCATATATTTCAGTATAATGATTTAATGACCAAACTGATTGAATTACTGCATGTACCAATAGACCTAAATCCGATGAATCCAAAAAAGTAATTAATTGAGCGGAACATGTTAATTTTAAAGATTTGGATCTATATCTATAAAGACTTTGACTAAAGCAGGGTGCATTAATTTCTAATAGTCCGGGTTTTTGTTCTAACACAATAATATTAAAATTTTCGAGGCGATCACAGTAATCGTCTAATATTTTTAATAAAGCGGCCAGTTGATCTATAAATTCTTGAGAAGCTCGACCTTGAACGTTCAAAGTTCTAAAATGTTGACCATATTTTGGTACTAGTTTTTGTAAAAAGAAACGTGAAATATTGTAAACAACTACAGTTTTGAAAAGATAGTTGGGGGTAAGAGAATGTAAGGAACGACTAGTAAGTGAAAGTTGTTTAAGATGTGCAGAACCAAGGAAGGAAATAATTTGAAGGAGTGTTTCAGTAGGAAGTGAAAAGAGAGATAACCTTGGTTTTGTCATCGTATAGCTTTTTTATTATTATTATTATTATAATTATTTTTAAATATTGTAATATTATTGTATACGTATATATATATTATAAGTGTTGTAGCTGTTTATGAAATGAATTTCCACTAATTAACACACAAGCCACACGTGAAATCATTTATAATGTAATTTTAAATTATTTTTTTTTACCGTTCGAGGATATTATTTTCAAAATCATGCCTGATAATAGGTATTTTTATAAAATTCTTTAAAATGTTTATTATCGCAATTTACGCGTAAAATCATCATTATTTTTCTCTTCTTAGTATATTAACTTCAAATCCTAAGGAACAAGAACAACGACTTTTTAGCAACCACGAAACTCAAATTCTCTATGAACTTCGTGGTATATTGAACTCGGTCGAATCAATGTAATTATTTTTATTTACACGTGTAACAGAGAAATTTCGCGTAGTGAATTTTTTTTTTAATAAATAATGTAGAAATCGAACCATATCAGGTGCAATTAAATTAACTTCACCAGGTGGAGAACTTTATGACGCACAAAGGCGCGCAAATGTCGGTCTGAATCACTTCAAGAAATTAATGGAAACAACAATTAAAAAATGATTCAATGTATATAAACTTCTACAAATTTTATTCTTAATGAACAATTTAATTAAGATTTGTTCCAAAATGCTACAAGTTAATAATAAATGAAAGTTAATAATAGAAATTTATAAATATCATCCTTCCTTGAAATTATTTATCTTGCAACTTACTAGGTACTTGGTCACCAGGAATAAATATCTTATCTACACCTGCCTCAGTAATAGTGGCTATTCGAATACATCCACCTGAAGATCCGTCTCTTGAAATCGATAATGCGATACCTAGATAACGAAAAATATTAAAAAAATATTCTACCAAAAATAAATTAAATTTTTTTTTTTTTTTTTTACCATTTTTGACAAAGTCTACAGCTTCTTGTTGAGTCATATTCTCTCTGAAATTTTTATCACAATAACCGTAGACATACGTTGAGCCACTTCCAGCAGTCGCAAATGGTTGTTTATGCAAAGATCCTCCTAAAGGAATACAATATACTGAACCGCCTTCGTATTTGTCCCATCCTGCAACAATAATACCAGCTGACAAAGCATTTTTATTCTGATAACATATATCGTGGAATAAAGCTGCTGCAGTCCGAATTGTTGGATCTTCTCCAAAATTTACACTTTTATTATTAGATTGAAATCATTTAGTATGCTTTTTCTATTAACGTGTAAATCGAATGTACATTACCTCGATTCTAAATATACTTACGAGTACATCTCTGAATACAAACGGACGATATCCGCGATCGCTTGTGTGTCTGCTGCACTACCGGAACGACAAGCGAAAATTCTATCATGGATTGGTGTCAATTTGTCAGTTACTCTATTGACAATGTAGGGTCCGCTTGTTGTACGAGTATCTGCCCCAATAACAATTCCCCCCTTGAATGTAACTGCCATGAGTGAAGTCTACGAAGTATTAATGAAAACCGTTACTATACTCTTTATTATAAAGTTTAACAGAGATACTTCGAAACTTTGTAAATTTTATTATAATTTATATATTATTTAAAGATAACACTAACCCCAAGATTAACTTCGCCAGGTTTCATTTTGTAAAGATTTCGAGTTGAAACTCAATACGTCAAAAAAAGAAAGATTGCGTATTCACTGCTTAATCACAAAGTCACGTGAAATATTTGATATCGCCGATCAATCCCCAAAAAATAATATTATTGTTAATACTTAAAAATTTAATTTTATAATATTTAAAATTTTGCTATTAAGATAATATTATAATATATTATTATAATAATTTTTTTTAATATTTAAAGTATTTTAATAATAAAAAAAACAACAAATTTTTTAAAAATATAAATCTTTACAAAAAAAAATTGATTATAATATTTTAATATAATATATTAATTGTTATTAATTAAGTATAATAAATATATTGATCTTTTTTATATTGTATAACATTTGATTTCAATTGATTTAAATAAAAATATTTCAAAAACTAATATACAGTCTTCAGCGAAAAGAATGGCGGAAATATTTCAACGGTATGTACAAATTTTATTTTAATGTATATTTTTTTTTTATTATTTATAAAAACAATACTAACGACAACTTTTATATTATTAATTAATATTTGGTGTATCCTTCTTCTGCATTGATATATGCTTTAACCTAGCTTGGCATGCTCTCGATATACTAAAGTAACATGATGTCATCAAAATCGTCCCATTCCTACCGAATTGTATTAAGAAATACATTGCAGGTAATGTTTTTTTTTTTGCTACTAAATACTTGATCTTTTTCTCCACCTTTTTCTTTAATACAGCCTATACATTTTCAATAGGCTTCAAGTCTGGGCTGTATGAAGGCCAAGAAAAAACTCATACTGGAAGATATTTTTCAAGTTTTCCTGAACATTGTGTGAGATGTGTTTTAGATCATTATCTTGTTAGAAAACCCAGTCACGTCTATATAACATATCCATATTGTTATATAAATAGTCGTCTAAGATTTTCAATACAAATGATGATCCAAATTTTCAGTAAACAAATGAATGCTGATTTTTCCTTTAACACTAATCGCTGCCCAAACATGAACCTTGAATGAATGCTTTACTGTAGGGGTAATTGGTTGTGCATTATAAGACTATGCATACATAGTATTTTTAAATATCTGAAGTATTGTTTTATCAGAAAAAAATAACTTTTTTCCAGTTGTATCGTAAATGATCATGTGCCTAAAACAAATGAAAATCCTTCACTTTTTGGATCAAGAAAAGAACCTTTCTTAGAAGAACAGAAATATATCTAAGATTGTTAAGTTCATAATGTATTGTACATTCACTAATATCAAGGTTTGAATCTTTTTCTTCTAATTTTACCTTAAGTTCGCCTGCTGTAGTAAAATGATTATGTTACAGAAATTATCCAATATGGTGACATTGATTTAAAGCCAATATTCTTGGATGGCCAGAAGAATGACCAATAGAAATTTTGCCAGTTTTATTTAGTAAACTGACATATTATTTACATATGCGTAAAGAAATGCATAATTAATTAGAAATTTCCTTTACATTATGCACTTTTTGGTCCCAAAGTGACTTAACAGAATTTCTTTATATTTCTAAAGAGCTTGGTATAGTTTTGGAAAGGAAATCAAAATAAAAACAAATAACAAACCTTATTTTTTAACTTACCTTTTTAATTCAGGTTCTAATGTCTGATTTGGACATATAAACAAATACCTAAATTTGAAAAGTGGTGAAACTGCAGCCTAAAATAGTTACGATCTTTCATCGCCATTCTTTTGCTAGAGATTGTATCAATGTGCAATTTTTTGCATCATTATGTCATTCATTCTTTTCTTTATATTTGAATAAAAAGATCTAAAAATATATTTTCTAAAGAAAGTTAGATGATAACAAAATTTTAAGGCTTAAAATATATATTTTAAAAATATATTTTATTTAATAACTTATAATTTACTAAATATAAAGCATTTTTAAAGTTTATCAATATTTTTTTTTATTATTATTGCTTGCTTTTTTATTTTTATTATCTAATATTTTATATTCTAATAAATTATTATTAATATTTTTCTAATTTTTTTATATAGAATTTATATTAAGACTATACAATTATTATTTTATTTTGAAAAATATTTGTAATGAAAAGCATAATTATATATAAATATCATATTTTCTTTTTATTATCTAAATATTTAAATTTTGATACAGTAATTACATTTATCTTTGATTTAATATTATAAAAACCTTTTTAATTTTTTACTTTTTTTTCAAGAATTTGAACTTTTATAGCTTTTTTTTATTTAAATAAATATTTTAATTAATATATATTTTTAAATTATTTTTATAATAAATCTTTAAACTATTATTTGTATTCATTTATAATTATTATAAAAAATATAAATATATTTGATAAGAATTTTTATATAAAAATTTATAAAAATAGCTGAAATTATTTTTTAATTATCAAAAACTAACCTTTCTATTTTGATAAATTTTATGATGATCAATTTTATACTAATCAAAATTAATAATTATATGATATTTCAAAAATGATTATCATAAAATTTAACTAATAAAATCACAAATAAGTTAAACATTTACTATGCTTATTAATTATATATAAATTATATATTATTCTATTAAAAGTATTTAATTAATTATAAATATTTAATTTAGTTAGCTATTCTTATATGTTTAAATATGATATAATATATTTTTAATACATATTTAAATATAATTCTTTTTATTTTTTAAAGTATTTTTTAAGTTTATATAAATTTTTTTTAAATATAAAAATTATTTTAAAACCTTTATTTAATTTATATTATAAATTTTTAATAGAATTAAAATATAAAATTTGAAGAAAAAATCTTAATCTTTTTTTTATATAATTTATTTTAATTAAAATTAAAAATATTAAGTGATCTTAAGTAATCTTAAACAGTCCTAAAAATTCTAAGAAAATTATAAAGAATTATATTTATAAATTTATTATAAAACTTATTTATTATAATGTTTTAATAAGTTATTAATTAAAAATATATATAATAAATTTTTTAAAATCTCAGAATTTCTTAAAATTTAAAATTTAAAATTTATAATCAATTGGTCTTATACTTAGCAATCCTATCATAATTGATAATTTTGAATATTATTTTTACATTTTACAAATTAATTATAAAATTTTTATAATATTTTTTGATAAGATTACTTATTATAGATAAGTGATTAAACTTTTCTAGAATTGATAATCTTTTAAATCATAAGAATCAGTTAAAGATCACTTAATATTCCTATTTAAAATGAAACATAAATTATATAATATAATATAAAAGTATTCTAATATCTAATTACTTATAATATAAGTAAATCATGATTAACTATACTATTATAAATAAACTATAATAATATGACTGATTTATATTATTAATGTATGATTTTTAAAGATTATACATAATAATTATAATATATAAGTGGTTATTCTTTTTTAATTGTATTATAAAGTATTTACAATAAGTTTAATTTTTAATATTAAGTTAATATATATATAGTAATTTACTTAATAAAATATTTAATAGAATAGATAAATGTAAATATTTGAAGTTTAATAATAAATATAAATTTATTAATATAAAGTATAGCTGATTTATTATTTTATCACATTATTAATCATTTTATTAATTAATTATAAAATAATAAATTATTATAATAAAATTAACAAAATGTGATAAATTAATAATTAAAAAAGAAGAAATCCAAATTAGAACATTATGATATTAATTTTAACTTGAATTTATTAATATTTATTTTTATTTTTGATATACATTTTATTGATTAATTTTGAAATATTTTATTAAAATTGATCATATGATAATCAATACTATTTTAATTTAGCTATGCTATAAAAAATTTAGCTATTAAAACTAAAGAAAAAATTTCTTTTTCAGAATTTTTTAAATGATTTATAAAATAATTTAAGTATTAAATAACTAATTCAAAAATTATATATATGTTAAAATTCTTATAAA